ATCACAAAAGCATGCATGCATACATTTTGTATACTCCATATCAACAACGTCATCATCATCATTATCATCTTCATCATCATCATCTTCTTCATCATCATCATCATCATCATCATCGTAATCGTCACCATCCTCGTCATCATCATCATCATCACGGCAACACAAACACAACTCATCTGCTAATAACTAATTTGCATACAAATGACTTTCGATAGAGCGGGTACACGAGATTGTATCATTTTATGAATGAATGATGCAATTGAGCGAATTTAAAAAACTTTCAACAAGGAATGATCAGATTAAAATAGAAGCGCACTTAATAACTATTTCCAACTGCGCTTGCAAATATCTGAATGAATCGCCATCTAATTTTATTTTAATCGATGATTTTTAAAAGTCAAGAAAAACTGATAAAAAAAGATAGAAGATGAATTAAATGAGAGAAAATGGAGAGTGAAAAGAAGTGAGAATGAGGAGGAGAGAGAGTGCGAAGAAGTGAGTGTGAGGATGGGATAGTGAGAAGAAGTGAGTGTGAGGAAGGATAGTCAGGAGAAAATAGAGCGAGGAAGAGAGAGAGTAAGAAGAAGTGAGAGTGAGTGAAATTGAGAAGGGTGAGAAAAAGAGATAAGTAAGGATAAACAAAAAATAAAATAAAAAGACGATAGAAAAAAGAAGAAGAAAAAAACCAATAATAAAATTTAAACAAACTTTTAAAACAAGAGAGAGAGATGCGCGAAAGAGAGGGCACATCAACAACACCTTCTTTTTTTTATAATCTTAGGTGGGGAGCACATAAATTTGGTGTGACACCTTTATTCAAGCGGGAGAGAGAAAAAATACAGCCTACAAATTACTATCATTAATTTGGAAAATAATCTTCTGAACCACTACTTACATTGTTTTTAATGTTAACAATTTCGTCATTTCACACACAAACACACATACACAGACACACACACACACACAGACACACACACACACATACACACACACACAAAATATATACTGATAATTGTCACTTTTGAAGTGTGTGTCCTATATGACTTGAGGATGGAATACTGCTTGTTTACATTTATCTGTCTGTTTGTTTGTTTGTTTCCGAATTTGTTGCTTATTTTGTGTGTCATCTTTTTGTCCTGGCGTTTGTGCCATTGTCTTTTGAAACACAATTTCACATCTTCTCCCATGAAATCATCCTATCAAATGTGTTATTACACCTTACGATTAACCTTTTGAGCTTCATGAATCATTTTTTTGCTCAAATAATAAAAATTATCTCGAAATCACTCTATATATTATTATAAATCATTACAGCTTTCGATTGCGATAAAGTTAATGAAGAATATCTTGAAGTTACTAAGACTTAACACAATCTGTTCGATTTTATTTCAATATTTTTGGTCAAAATGTAGAAAAATCGTTGTCAAACAAATCAATTTTATCACTGGCATTGCATTTCTATAACATTTACAGATTTATATTTTTATGAGTTTAGTTTAGTATACAGTTTAGTTTAGTTTAGTACGTTTCAATATAAGATACTCAGATGTATGTATGCCAATATAGCTGTTATTTTCCCATCATCCAATAGGATTGCGTTGTTACAGCAGGTAGCTCCTCCCTTATCGATTGTTCATAAAATCTGCTGGAGTATATAAGATGATTGCTTCTGCATGTTGGCATGGTCGAATGCGTGCGTGAACGTCTTCATCGTCCGTTCGTGTCGAGTCGTTGGCTTGATTTTTTTTTTTAAATTTATTATGCGCAACAAGTGTTGTTAATCGGGAATGTTCAATCACGTATAAAAATTGCCTAACAAACGTTACAGAATATTGCAGATTTCTATTCTCAGTTTCAATTTTAAAGATTTTTCAGTAATAACTAAAAGTTTGAGTGAATAAAATCAAATTAATGCTTGGATTTTACGTGATATATCAATTTTATCTACACAATAGGTGAGTCTGTCTATTTTGTTTTCAACATTACAAATATTTCTTCATTTTATTCACTAATGTATGGTTAGAAACACTTTATATAATAACCAAATTGTTTATGTTTTGCCTTTTTATCCATAAACAGTTTTTTATGCTTACGGCTTTTTGCAAATGTATTTCATCAAAATCTACCCTATATAAATATTTCGTGGCTTGTCATAAGCAAGATAAAAATAAGTTCGTCATGCAAAAAAAATGTTCGAACTAATAACAACTGATTCAGTCAATTTAATCTGTTTATAACATTCATTCTTCATGGAAAATTTATATCGGCCACCGGTTAGGTTATAAATAATGCACTAAATTATTTACTAAACAAAAAATATTAATTAACTAATTAATTAATTTAATCTTTATTATCTGTGTAAGAAGATATTTTAATTTGAAATTTCTTTCAGTCGAGAAAAAAATCATTAACAGAATAATTACAGTTATCATTGAAATTGTAATTATATGTTTAATTGAACACATACATAAATATATATATGTATATGTAAGTATGTATATGTTTTGGTATATGTATACATCTTGCATTTATATTTTTCTATAAGATCAAACGTGTGTCCAGTAAATGAATAGAGTGTAACTGCCATATTGCATGACCTATACCGCATCAACTTCGCTAGACAGATGATATTGGTGATGTGTGTGTCTCCATGCAACTGTTGCTTGCAATTGGTGTCCATCACTTTCAAGGTCTCATAAAGTAAATCACACAACATGCCAGTAACTAATTATAAAATAAACATAAAAATAAATAAACAAAACAACTCATAGAAAGAAACAGCACAATGTAGCAAATTAAAAAATAATAAAGCTTCTTGTAGTTTTCTAAGATTCAATTTGAATCAGCATAATGCTCTGAATGAGGTTGAACTATGGCAGGCAGCACGAGGCTAGATAAACAGATTACTCAATCAAACCAGCAAGCGATCACAAATCAGATCACGCAAATGAAATTCTACAAAGCGAGCGAGCGAGCGAGCGAGCGATCAAACACACATGTGAACATTTGAGCAAACAAAAACCGAAACATATGAACAAACAAATAAACAAACAAATGAACAAACAAATGAACAGAAATCACCGATGCATGAACAACCCAATAATTACTCTCTAACAACATTAAAGATAAGCATCTTAGCGACCAGACACAGCAGGCTGAGGTACACAACAACAGTAGCTACATCAACACACCAATAACAACAACAACATCAACAAAAACCACAACACAAACACATCAACATAACAGAACATCTCAACACAACATCAGTATCACGTATCTCCTGAGCTCAACAAAAACAACTTTGATATTTTGTGACATCAACAGCAACATGTAATCATAAACAATGACATTTCACAAAATTTAAAATAACAAGATCAACACATCAGTAAAACTAATTTTAAAAATGTTTTCATGAATTCAACAAACTCTTCCTCAAAGGTGCAAATTTCTAATAACCGTCGTCAAAAATACATACAAAGTTGTAGCAGCCAAAGCAGCAAAAACAGCAAAAAATACGTTTAAAAATCAAATTAATGGAACAAAATTAATGGAACAAAATTAACAAATTTGGAAAGGGTACTGAAATACAACACTGCAGCAAAACAATTAGTTTCATAACATTGCACTAAATCACGCTATAAAATAAACACACTGAATAAACACAACACAACACAAACAACATTACACAACACAAACAAATCACTTGACAATAACACAATAATACAAATGTTCAACGCGACAAACACACAACTACCAACCCACGCAACTAAACAACAACACAAACAAACAAACATAAGACACAACAACACTACAACACAACCACGCAACAACACAACTACGCAACAACACAACAACGCAACCACGCAACAAAACAACTACGCAACAACACAACCACGCAACAACGCAACTACGCAACAACACAACCACTCAACAACACAACCTCGCAACAACACAACCCAGCGACAAGAGCGCAGCAACAGAAAACTTGATAGGAGACATCACGATAGTTGCACAGATTTGATTGGATTTGATCGCGTGCTACTTCATGTTCTTCGTATCAACTACGTCGCATCAACTTTTTATTCGATGCCGAGATTTTTATTAGATTTTTAAAATAATTAATTGCCGGTAATTATAGCATTAATAGGTTAATTAACCTTTTTCAATTCATTATTACATTTTGAGATTTGGAATCTATACGTACGATTATTTTTTTTCAGAGAACGGCCATTGAAAAAATCTACAAATAACAAACATTAAAAGGGGCAGCAGCAGCAACAACACCAACAACATTAGCAGCCAGAGCAGCTGAAAGTGAAGGGGCGCAAGCAGTCAACACATTTTTCAAAACATCCCACAACCACCACCACCAAGAAAAAGAAAAACAATGTTGATACACAGTGCCACCAGCCTCGCCAGCAAGCAGTTGCCTGGAGACCACGATGCCTACCACAACAACTACAACAACACTTTCGCAGAGTCAGACGTACATAGTGCTTCCAGTTGCTATGGTGACGACGCTGATGATGACGAAGATGGTGACGTCGTGAGCCAGGTTGGTTTGTCATTGTTTCTTATTTTAAAATAAATGAACAAAAATTTTAAACAAGTTCGGAACAAGTCTTACAGTTTACATGTTGATTACATAGCATTGCATAAAAATTTCGTAAACTTTGCTTATTTTTATTCCAATACAGCAAGGTGTTGAAAAGAATCGAACCAGCAAACAACAAGCAAGTAATAACAATTCTACAAACAACAACAAAAAAGGTGTTAAACATTCAAACAACAAAAACAACGCAACAATGAACAATTTGGAAGCGAAACAATTCAACGAAACAAGCGACAAATCTGAATACTCCATTTCCGAATGCGGAAATGATGTAATGTTTGATGATGACGATGATGATGAGCAGGAAGAAGAGGAAGAAGATGAATATTTGGAACCGGAAGTACCAGTTGATCCAGACGCCCCGAAGAAAAGAGGACCAAAAAAGAAACGGATGACAAAAGCGAGGGCAGCTAAATTGCGCGCTCGCCGAATTAAGGCGAATGCGCGCGAACGAAACAGAATGCACGGGTTAAATGACGCGCTGGATCGCCTTAGAAAACATGTGCCTTGCTACTCAAAAACACAGAAGCTTTCCAAAATTGAAACTCTACGATTGGCTCGCAACTACATCGGAGCTCTGGCTGACGTTTTGAAACGAGGGGAACGACCGGCCCCCTTGCAATTCGCGAAGGCCCTCTCTAGTGGTCTCTCACAAAATACTGTCAATTTAGTAGCTGGAAGTTTGCAAATTAATCCACGTGCACTGATGACGGAGGCTGGGTTTTTTCCACCTGCCATTCCTTCTCAGTTTCCATTCCATGCCCATCAACCAATCATATCTCCAGATCAGATGATGATGATGAGTGGCTTCAACTTTAAACAAATCGTTAAAAATGACGCCGCTGAAGATTACTTGATCGACAACAACGTTGAAAATAACAACAACAAGGACTGTTACAACGTCTGCAAGAGCAACAGCATCAACAACATCAACAACAACATCAACAACAACTTTCTCGTCAACGAAGACAACAGTCAAAGCATGCTCTCGCCTGTTCATCAATATTTTCACCAACAGTTCGGTTACACCTCTCCAAATGTGCAAAATCACTTATACAACAACAACAGTAGCTACAGTCAGCAGCACTTAATAGTTGAAAAAGCATTATCTCCACTCGTTTCCAAGCAGGGTCACGATTCTGAATCCAATCGCACGTGTCATCTACCGTCCATCCATTCAAAAACGCTTAAGACAAACAAAGAAATTTACAGCTCCTACCATGAAGAAGTTTCAAACACAAATCTCAACAATGTTGATTATGCCAACAACAATCACACACTGATAGAAGACGACACAAACCCCATATCTCCAAATTATTATCCGTACAACATGCAACAAAATATAAACCACAGTCGGCATTTTCGACAACAAAACACACTCAGCCACCAACTAAACCAACTAAACCAGCATCAACAACAGCCATTAATTCCAATGCCCTACTCGCCTCCAACATTCTCTTCAACATCACCGTCACAACATTACCAGTCAGCACAACACCAACAACAATTATACCAGCCGCAACAACAACAGACACAACAACAACATCCGAAACAACCACAACTTCGACAGCAGCAGCAACATACAACGCCCCAATCCATTACTCCGTCGTCAACATCATCGCTCAGTTCATCGCTATCATCTCCAATGAACGACTCTGGAATTGACCTTATCTTAGATGACCTTGAAAATTATGACGCAGTACGTCATGTGATGAAATATCGACCTGTCTGGAGCAACAGCAACGTTAAAAGCACTTCTACCACCATCACCGCCAACAACAACAACAACATAAAATCAAACAACGTTTCGTTCACTAGTCCAACAACAATTTGCAACGATAACTCCAAAGTTGACCATTACAATAATTTCACTCTATGAAACTATTCTATTGTTCATTATTTATTTACAGATTTTTTTTCAAACTGCTTGTTGAAACCAAAAACATTTATATATGGGATTGGTGATAGAAAATTAAAATCTGTACACATATATGATACATACAAAACTACCTTGAGTGTTGTACATTCGTGTCGATACAAATGTGAAAATAAGTTCTATGCAAAATTGCTTAAAATTTAAACCATCACTTTGTAATTGTTTATATCAAATTTTTGTCATTATATTTCAATGAAGACATTTTATAAAAAAAATATATCTGAATGTTTAGTGCCTCTTCTATGAATAACACCGTTCTTACCTTATGATCCGCATGCCTTCTATCGTCATTCATGCTTTATAAACGAAATCAAGAGAATGTGTGTATTTTATAATAATTGTGTCAAGTGAACTTATATGTTATATACATAGCCTACACAAACACACACACACACAAACAGATGTACGTACACACAAACAAACACATGCACACATATACACATATATAAATTTTATTTATTCACTGTTCTTCTTTAATTCCGCTAAATATCATTCCGACTATTGAAATTTCCAGAAAACAAATTGTTGGTTTTTTTTTATAAAATAATCCCAAATTTTCAACGTTCATTTGATATAACCAAGTGAGATTTATAATGCAACATGTGTTGTGTTGCATGCACCATTCATTGCTCATTCACCACTAGTCAGTCATGTCATTGAGTTAGTATGTGCGTGTATATATTAACATGAGTTGGTGTGTGTGTGTATGTGTGTGTGTGTGTGTTGTGTGAGTGTGTGTGGAAATATTTACTGTATATATATATATATATATATATATATGTGTGTGTGTGTGTGTGTGTGTGTGTGTGTGTGTGTGTGTGTGTGTGTGTAAGTGTGATCCTTCATCAATTTATACAATTTATATGAGATAGATTTGCATTGGATGTTAGTTATATATAATGATTTTCCTTTGTCGAGTTGTTGGGGTTTTGGAATGCTTGTGAACAAATATGTGATCATTTACTCATGGCTCTGTTACTTAAATGAAGGAATAAACTATTTCAAATACCTGACAATGTTTCCTTGTTTGTTTTTTAAATTAAAAAAATTAAAGTTTTAAAAATCATCACCATCATCACAAATATCATCACTATCATCATCACCATCTTCATCATAACCACCACAAATAACATCATCATCATCATCACCATCATCATCATCATCACCACAAATATCATCATCATCACCACCACAAATATCATCATCATCATCACCACAAATATCATCAGCATCACCATCACCATAAATATCATCATCATCATCATCACCACAAATATCATCATCACCACCACAAATATCATCATCATCCTCATCGTCATCATCACCACAAATATCATCATCATCATTATCGTATTCCTTCTCTCGGTCCAATTTTCATTGTGTTCCTCCTGTCCAGTTTGTTTTGTTGTTCACTCCTTCATTGTTCAGCGTGTCAAAAAATCCAAGCAAGCTTCACTCACATGTAAGCCCAGAAAGTTGTGTACACATTTTTGCATAGTGTGTATGTATGTGTGTATGTATGTGTGCATGTATGCGTGCATGTATGTGTGCTGTGCATGTATGTGTGCGTGCGTGTGAGTGTTGATATATGCGTAGATACACTAGAGAAGCGTATAGATGCGTTTTAGTTTATGTGTGCTTAGGAGTATAGATGTTTGCGTGTCTGTGTGTTTGTATGTGTAAGAACGTGTACGTGAATGTACGTGTATTGTGCGCGAATGTAAGCTTGCAATTGTTATGAATTTACGTGTGTTTTATGTGTGTTTTATGTGTCTGCTTGAACATTTATCTGACTGTGAGTGCTATTATGTTTGTTTATTTTTATGTGTATGTATATGTATATGATGTATGCATCTGTTTGTATGTTTATGCCCGTATATTTATGTTTATTTGTGTGTATGTGTGTGATTTTATGTGTTTGTATGTGGGTGTAAACGTATGTTTGAATGTTCATGTTTGTATGCGTATGTGTATGTGTGTGTGTGTGTGTGTGTGTGTGTGTGTGTGTGTGTGTGTGTGTGTGTGTGTGTATGACTGTTTGAATGCCAGCATGCAAAGGTCTCCTGTGTTAATTTTTCACGTCCATCCGCACTTGAATATCGAACGCCATTTAGACACTATTTACTTAAGAGGCAATAACAATAAAAACAACAATAACCATAACAATAAGAATAACCAAAACAAATGATTGTTTACTTTGCAGTTAAGCACACGTCTTCGTATCCAGAACCGCTTTTTCAGTTGTTGTTTTTGAATGTGTTGCTATTGTTGTTGTTGAATGTGTTGTTATTATTGTTGTTGTTGCTGTTGTCGAGCTGCTATTGTTGTTGAGAGTTGTTATCGTTGTTGTTGAATGTGTTGTTACTGTTGATGATGTTGTTGTTGTTATTGTTTTGTTAAATATGTTGCTATTGTTGTTGTTGCTGTTGTCGAGCTGCTATTGTTGTTGTTGAATGTGTTTTTGATGTATTTGTTGCTGAGGGTGACGTCATTGTTGACGGTATTGTTGATGTCGGTGATTTTGTTGTTAATGTAATATCATAGATTCAAATGTTAGAGCAGATTTGAGCATTTTGACTGGAAGTCTTTTAAGGAAACCACGTATCATCTTTCAAATCACGCAGACAAACAAACGTACGAGAATACACAAACATACATGCATACAAACACACAGACACAAATACGCACAAAGACACATACACACAAAGAGACATACACACAAAGAGACATACACACAAAGAGACATAAACACACTAACAATCATATTATAAGGGCATCTGTTTACATTAAGTCCTCATCAATTTGACATTTCACGCACATTCCCAGAGCGGAAGTTGATGGTGCTGACGTCACGGAGGCATGCATGTGTTGAGGAAATGTTGGCGTGACGTCACACTCGTCATTAATGCTATTAGGAGTGCAGTCATCGTCATCATCATCGTCGTCGTCCTAATGACCATCATTATCAACTTTCGCATATATACATCATCATCACCTAATTAGAATTTTTTTTCTATCATCATCGTGGTGATCGGTTTATTGTCATCATCATCATCGTCAACATCATCACCATCATCATCGTCATCATCATCATCATCATTATCACTGTCATGGTCAACATCATCCTTGTCAACATCATCATCATCATCATCATCATCATCATCATCATCATCATCATCACCATCTTCTTCTTCTTCTTCTTCTTCTTCTTCTTCTTCTTCTTCTTCTTCTTCCTCTTCTCTTCATCATCATCATCATCATCATCATCATCATTATGATCATCATCATCAAATTTCATCATATCGCATAATACGTGACGAAATGTTTTGAAACAAAAAAATTATTGTGCAAATGTTTCTATATTAATAATAGATGTGACGCAACTCTTCATTCCCACCCATTCTAAAATAAAATGATCATCTCATAATATTCATGATGACATATTGGGAATGATAATGGCGGTAACGATTACGACAAAATGATGATGATGATGATGATGACGACGACGACGATGAGGATAATGATGATGAGGATAATGATGATGATGATGACAAACCGATGATGACATTAAAGTTGATGACGATGACGATGATGTTATATGAGTTAAAAAATGTTATTTTATTAAGTAAAAAACTTCGTCCTAAATATTTTTAAAAAAGTATTCACAATCCCCTACTTAGGTTAATAAGATTGCATATTTATATTCGAGTCATTTAAAACGCATAACACCTTCCATTCCATTGTTAATAATAGGCATTTTTACAGACGGGGAACTAGCTCAGATGGTAGAGCGCTCGCTTAGCATGTGAGAGGTACGGGGATCG